GGGGGAAAGGGGGGTGGGGCACTTGGGGTGGCACAGCTGAAGGCTGAGTCCTACAGTAGTCGTATCAGTAGGTCCTTCAACCATCTTACTCCCAAAAACAATCACACACCTCTGTCCTTGTCAGCTGACCTGACACAGCAACCAGGAAAATGGTCAGAACAACCAGAAAATAATCTGATTGTCTCTCCAAAAATTATACAGTGATGGTATTATTAACAGTGCCTTGAAAACTTGGTGAGGCAAATTCCCTTTTCAGAGGATAAGTTTTTGGATTCCACTGTCTGAAAAAAAAGACCACGAGCAGAGTGATGCACAGCAGCTCTCCATCAAAACGCTCCATAATTAGAGGCGGAGAGTGAAAATGACTGCTAGTCAACTGTGTGGGCAAAGACTGCCGAGCCTGCGATGTCACAGCGGGTGAACTCAACTGTCATTGGGTAAATAGGGGTGACATCGCAGAGAAGAAGCAGTCTGATTGGTGCCATCAGTGGAAGAGTGGTGAGGTTCGAAGGTCACAAACGGTGGTGGCCTGCACAGCTGCCCAACATTCAGTCCATGAAACAGGGTTCTGTCAGTGATGCAACTTGGCCTGCAGGGAGAGGAAGGCAGAAGTGGCTTTCATTTATTATTAGTTCAATCATGAGTGTGTGTAAAGCAGCTTTTAACATTTCTGAAAAACAGAAAATTAATGAAGGCTTGGTTTTCTAAGAGAACTGACGATAATACAGAATGCCAGTTTGTATAATATTTTTAATACCTCCATGATTCATCGTATCTGTTATAATATGGGATTGCTGGCCAGAATTACACAAATACACTATTTTCTGGAGTCTGCTTAGAGAGCATGTTCTCTACATTGTAGTAGCCTGTGTGTGCACCCTCTGATGACAGAATTCACATCTCCTGGACCCTCCTGGACCCTCGTGGACCTTGCGAATGTGCAAGTATGCTATGGTCCACGAGGATCCAGGTGATTAACAAGGGCTCAGAGTCTACAGCCATACTAACAGCTACTACTATACTTAGGCACAGCTGTGCTTTGAGCTAAGTGTGAATGTCAACATACCACTAATGCTCACAATGACAATGTTAACATGCTGATAAGCAGGTATAAAGTTTACCATGTTCACCATCTTATGTAGCATGTTAGCATGCTAACATTAGCTAATTATCACTAAACACAAAGTACAGCTGAGGCGGACGGGAATGTCAATAGTTTTGAAGGTTCAGTATCTGGTCATAAAATGAAGTAGTGGACAGGTAAAACTTTGACCTGATGGTGGCAGCAGAGGTAAAGTCAGAGGATCACCAAAGTTAGAAGGATTCATCTTCTAAGGACCATGAATGTCTAAACCAAGTTTTATAACAATGCATCCAATAGCTGTTGAGATATTTCAAACTGGACCAAAGTGGTGGAACCAACCGACCATCCATGGATACTGCTAGCATTGCTAAACACGCTGGCTCTCCTCGTCTCAGCAGTGTATAGTTGTTGATGTTTACCCTCAGAAACAACAAATAATTGGCACGTTCAAGCTATAATTTTTCAAAGCTTTCAACCACATCTATGAGTCTTCTTTAACAGATCGAGTTCATCATGACCCATGTCTCTGTTATCATGTTGGGTTCCATACTTGAATCCCTGATGAAGATCATTAGATGTGGTTAAAAGCTCAGAGGCCAGTGAGGAGAAGGTAAGATTTTCACAACAGATGTGAAGATGTGAGAGACATTATGTAACACCTACCTGTCTCGGGGACTCGGGCCCCGATGCCAGTATTCCCCCGCTGTCGCTCCCATTCCCAAAGAGGCTCTCCAACCCACCCGGCCTGCTCAGCTTACTGGCCTTCCCTCTGTAAGAGCTAGGACTCCTCCTTTTCCTCCCCTCTGCTCCTCCCCCATAAGCCAAGGGTCCGGAGGGGGAAGCCAAGGGCTGATGGGGGGTGGAGGCAGGCTCCCTGTTGGGCGAGTAGGGTATACTGGTCGTGCCAAGTTCGCGACTGGAGAGGTCCAGAAGAGGAGGGAAATTGCCATTAGTGATATATAGTGAGCTCCAGCTGAGTTTTCACTGTACAGTAGGGTCTATTTGGGCTGGTATAAAATCATCACAGCAGGTTTTACAGTGCTGCATCTTTTAGAGGAAAGCCAAGCACCTGTCATCACAGCCTCTGGACTGCTGGCACTGTCCTCTCTGTTTACACACTGCTCTACTTTTAATAAATCACCCTCTTGTGTGTTTCTCTTCATGCTGTACACTGTGTGCTGAGCCTGTTTTGTGTTGTTTGCAGCCCTGGTGACAATTAAAACTTCCTGTCAGACCAATAAAGACAATAGTGTTTTATTTGAGGACATTTTGCTGAACACATTAAACTGATGCTCTTGTATAGAGGGACCTGTAATGAGGGAGCAGATCCTCTCCAGTATCCTCTCAAGAAGACACATTTCAGAAGGAACTGTGAATATGTCAGGTGGATTTAATCCTGCCAAAACTTTAAACATCCCTGCACCCACCTGTTTTGTGAGTTGTGGCTTTCAGACCCATCGGTTCTGGATAGCCAGTCCTCTCCGCTGCTCCAAAACCCGCTTCCCCCACGCCCGAGTCCCTTTTTCCTGGCTGGGGTTGCTGCAGCCCCCCCTGAACCTTGTAATGTTGGATGATAGCTGCTGCCATTCCTTTTGTGATTATCCACAGTCGAAAACAAGGAAGAAGAAGAAAAGGATGTGGAGGAGGAGTAGGAAGAGTTTTTTCTCTTCTTGGATCCCACTACTGAGTCCTCCATGTCTTTGGATGGGCGGCTGGCTTTATGCGTGCCGTTACGGGCTTTACCCAGTGCAGAAACTGGGGCGACGGGCTGTGTAGCGTCTCGAATGCTGAACACCATGGATGCGGACTGAGGAAATGTGGCGGTGTAGGAGAGGGAGTTGGAGGGGGAGGAGAGGAGAGGAGAAGTGATGGATGTAGGAGAGGGAGTCTGTTGTGAAGTGACGGGGGAGGTACCGGAGGAGGAGAGGGAGAGGAGGCTCTCAGAAGCCAGAGGCACCTTCCTGAAACGAATGAGAAATGCACCAATACAGCTGCTTTCTTTCCAATATACAGCAGATTCAGAGCACTAAAACTTAAGTCATAATCAATATGTTGTATTTTACTGAATTATGTTTTTTTGGTGTTTTCATGAAGTAAAATATTTTGCATAATCTTAGCATCCTATTAGCTACTGTTGCTCCTCCATTGATTTTATCTATATCTATATATATGATTTAAAACTCAAACACGATTCCTTTCCAACATATTCTTTTATTTCTTCAATCAACACACGCATGCATCTTTTTCTCTCTTTGGATTTATGTTGTTCTCTCTGCTAACCTATAACCTTAAATGAACTAGCTTCTTGTTTGATTACATTTTCACGTGACATTAAAAACACTTCCCGTATACCCACTTAATTGTGTTTCTCTTTCCGTCATAAAAAAAAGACTCGCATAAGTCACTTCCTCTCACATTTACTCAGCCTGAATGTTTGATTCATAGGTGTAATCAAAACAGGGGTTCACACAGTCACTCCTGAGTAGATACAGTAGTTGGAAATGAATTTCACGTGTGTTGCATGCATTTATACATTGACTTTCATGTGAAAAAGTGGATGTACACTCACCTCCACATCTGAGAGTTAAGGTGTTTCTCCACCATGTTCTGGAGCGCCAGCCTCATCCTGTCCCATCGCCTGTCGAACACATAGTGACCCCGTCCCATGAGCCTGCTGCTGAATACGCAACACTGGAGGGAGGGTAAAAGGGGATTGGGACAGAAGGGACATAAGGTTAGGCATGGAGAGAGGTGTTGATGGGAGAAGGGAGAAGAGAAGAATGCACATGAGATAGAGGTACACAGAGTAGTAAAAAGAGAACAAGACAGGCAGGTTAATGAAGAGGATGCAGAGAAAAACAAAAAAAAAAAAGAGTGAAAGGGGGAGGAAGTAAGAGGTGGGTAGGCAGAGCAGGATGTGGAGTGAAAGAGGCATCAAAAAACTGATGACCCAGGTAGCGCATAGAGGAGACAGAAAAATGCCTAATTAACACTGACTGATGTGAAAGATGGCCTAAAAATTGAGAAAAACAAAAATCTACTCAAGAACTTGAGTTCAAACATCTAAAAAAAGCAGTAAACTCAACCTTCTCTTAAGCTAAGACAACAAAACCAAATCAAAGCCTTGTTTTAATTTTTAAGAGAAGACTTCACAATGAGCCTTCAAATCTTTAATGTCACTGGTTTACTGACAGTGTACAGCATAATGTATATGATAATTAAGAAAGGAAATGGAGTCATTGATCCTTCATCTGATAAGCTTGTGGGTTTCGCCACAGATTCTCAACATGAACAGCTTCACTGTTAATGCTATGTTTTCAGACATAGGGTATACATATGCACTGAGGTGGTCAGTTTAGCAGGAAAAGAGTCAGTGTTTTCTTATGAAACTGCAGAAAGCACAGACATTTTAATGTAAATGACCCATATAATATATAGTAACATCTTGGCCATGGCTCAATTCAACAAATTCACACAGAACCCTTACCTCTTTTTTTTTCACTCAAAACACTCGATAAGACAAAAATAACTCTTCTAAACTGCATATAAAAGCAGACCCTGTGGGGTAAAAATGGGAAATATTGCCTCAAACTTGTGAGAATGGGTATTTAATGCCCCAAGGTTATGGGATTTTAAAAACGTCTGTTAGTGCAGCATTAGTAGTCATAGTATTTACCCCTAAAGGCTGCGGGTGGTGATTGGAGAAGTGAAAGGCAGGTCTGTCAGGGTAGTCTGGAGTCTCTGCGTCTCCCTCGTCACTGGAAAGCCGGCTGCCGTCTCCCGCTGCCGTCACCCAACTGTGGGGAGACGGCTCGGGGTTAGGGGCCGGGGCAGGGGCCGGTGCTGGAGGCAGAGGACTGGAGGTGGAGGTGTTGGAGCCTGGAACCCTGGAGTGCACATGTCAGAAATAGAGATGGGGTGAATAAATGTTTAGTTAGTAGTATGGAGAAGCAAAGAGAGAGGAAGTGAAAGAGAAATAAGTGATAGAAGAAAACAGAAGAGTAATGGGGAAGAGGGGAAGAACGGAAAGAAATGATAAATTATAAAAAGAAAAGAGTGAAAGAAGGGGGGGAAAGGAAAGGGGTGAAAAGTGAAAGACACAACAACTCATGTTATATCTGCACTAGCATGTTTGCTATACTGACAACGTCACCCCTAACTTCCTTGTTCGAACATAGGATGATCTTCTAAATAGAAAGAGGAAATGAGTTTCTTGTGTCACTTTTACTATTGTTTGTCCACTCTTGTTTACAGCATCCCCTGGTGGAAAAAACACGAACAGACAAGGATGTCTTATGTATGTCTCGGCCTAGCACAGTTGAACTCCACTGAGGTGAAAAAGCATTAAAAGTCATATTGAGGTAAAAGTAAAAATAAATTCCTGACAAATTCCAAGTAAAAGTCACTCATTACTGAACTAAAAACTTAAATCACTGGGTATATTGTGTGCAAAAGTATCCAAAGTAAATACCCAAATGTCCAATGTTTTGTCAGAAAAGTACAGGTCAAACTTAAAAACTCGACTTATGTTAAGAAATAGAATTACAAAAAAATACGATTGATTTCACTGTTTGAAGTTTTTGGTTACTTGGGATAAATATAAGGCAACATAAATGTCAACAAATAGAGAAAAGCGAAATAGATACTCTCTACCTAACTGCTTTTATACGCCACTCACACTTGCATGAGCATTTAACGCATACTTTTCACCTGTTCTAGCATGTCGTCAGTTTTGTACGAATGTTCTCTCTCTTGTCTAAAGTAATGTCTATACGAACACTTACAACTTGAGCTTAAATTTAGCTTTAGCCTTAGCTTTTATATCAAAATTAGAATGTTCTAAATGTGTGAAGGCAAAAATAGGGGGGAAGAATCAGGTTTTTAAAATGACATAACATTTTTACATTTACTATGTGTGTCCACCGTCCTACCTGGGTATGTGTGCATTTGCCAGCCGTAGCTTCAGCGTAGACAGGGGTCGTCCATTTGGGCAGTGAGGCTTGCTGGGACACGCGGCCTCTTGTGAAATGATACTCTGGCTGCTACCCTCCTTCCCTCCCTGCGTTCCGTCCTTATCTTTCTCCTTCTCCTTTGCTCCCTCCTTCGGCCGCCCCTTGTGTTCGGCCAGGAGGATGTCAAAATGTTTCCTTCGGCCGGGGACGGCCCGGCGGTGTGTTAAGGAGTGAGTCTGTAGAAGACAAAAAACACACAAAAAGGTTAATAGCTTTTTTTTTTTTCTGTGAGATACTAAGCACCAAGCACAGGTATTAGGTTATTTCCAGAGAGACTTTGTTAATGAAAGTATTGATCTGTGAAGAATTCAGAGTGCAGCCAAAACATACTTCAGCGTGGCTGATGGTTGCACTCAGAGGGGCTTGAATCATGACTCTCTGGTTTCAGGAAAGTTTCCATAATCACTGCACCATGCTGCTGCCTGTGTCACACCAGACTAACATAGGTAAATATTGCCAGTGCATGGTCAGCTTGTCTACCCTTCCAACTACTCTGGAAGGTAACCAGCCATCAAACATTTGGTTTTCAAATAGCCCAAATAGAAGGACAAATGTTTCCTGTACTCACATTGAAAGTAAGGGCGTCTTCAAATGATTTAAGGCCTGGAAGATGCATCTTATAAAATCCTAAATGTCGTGGCTGCTGAATAACAACAGGACGGGCAAATATAAAGGGGCACTTCTTAAATTTTACATGAGATTTAAAGCAAGTGCATTTTACACTTTTATTATAGACAGAGGAGAGATGACAGGAAATGGGAGAGA